CTTGTTTTCTGATTTCTTTTAGTTATTAAAATATAAAGCCTGTGAGATCCTATATGTAATAGTCATTCCTAATTCCTACTTCAGAGAAGGCAACCATAAGAGTTTAGCAGATTAAAGAATTTTGTATTAGATAGAGAGAATGTAGATAACAAAAATATCAAAAAGCTGGGTCAGCTCATTTATCACAATGAGAAAACAATCATTGCTTTTTTCTGATTCATGTTCAAATTACATGTATTGATATATTAAAAACCAGTGTGAGTTCTCTAAATTCTTACTGCAAATTAAATGTCATTCAGCAAGTAAAATTTCATGTATGCATATATATATATATATATATATATATATATATATATATGTATGTATGTATCCAAAATATATACACACTTCAGGAAAAGAAAAACTTGTTTAAATATTTTAATACCAAATTCATTGAGACATCATGAGATGCATACAAGTTATCTTTAGCCTCTGCAGTTACAAGAGGTGCTCAAAGTGGACCATTGGTTTCCTGACATTTATCAGGTATGGCAAGCTACTGCATGGGCAACCTATGTCATTGGGATTGCTGCACAGGCCATTTCAATCACGACATTGCCTAGGGTTTCCCATAGGAAGATAACACCCTCTGTTGACAAAACATCATGCTATTTTCCTTTTCGGACATGTATACATTTTTTGACAGACTCTGTATGTATGCAGATATACACATGCACATGTGTTTACTTACAATTACATGGTATTCCATTCATCATATGCATATCTTTAAAAAATCATTTCCATTGTTTTATGTCACCTTACTCCAGTTCTTTCATCTTTGGCCATTATGAAGCTAATTTCTTAATACATATTCTATGTTATAAATTTATGCCTTAGAAATTCTGGGTCATATATTTTGGACTGAGTTTATGACATGTTTTGTCACATTTTTCTATTTTTTGAAAATTTTTTCTTCTATAACTTTTAGCTTGTAATATTATCAAAATTTCTAAAATAAATCTGATGCTAACAAAATAAAAGGAGGGAAGGGGGAAAATGAATTGTACCAATTTACGATGAATGTAATCATTATGTAGTGCAAATGTACTAATAAAGTTAAAAAATTATAGTTTTCTCAATTATGCATAGGCATTTTTATATTCTTTTCCCAATGTTTTGTTTTATTTTCTATATTTATGTCATTAGTGAAATAGATGTTTTGGTTGTTTCTATTGTAAAATCAGAGGTCAAAATAATTTTCTTTCATAGAGAAGTGGAAGAAAAGAAATCTTCATTTCTTTGTATATATAGGGAACATGCAGAGAAACAAAAGGCCAATTAGCCATAGAGAATCCTTTTAATCTTGGAAATTAACTGTTATTCATCATTGAGTTTCCAGAAAAATACCAACATTTTAATCATTTTAATAATAACTTCCATGTATATAAATCCTTCTAAGACACTTCATATTTTCTTGCTTCATTAAATAATGTCAACTTGACATATTTAATGTTACTAAAAATGAATATTACTATAAATACTATCAATTATGTTGCACATCGAAGATAATTTCTGCCTTTGTCTTACTTCTCACAATGAAGTTGAAAGTTCTCTCTCTCCCTTGCCTTAAATCACTATCTTCTCTTGATATGACGAAATTCTGGCTGACTTCCTCCTAGCTAATACCCCTCTCTTTCTATGAGGGTCTTCACCACAAGAAATGTACATGATAACTTTTCTCATGTGTTCAGTGTTCAGTACTGTACATTTTCCCTTCACTGAGATAAAACACCTGACACCTGCAACCTAAAGAAGAGCTTTAATTGGTTCACAGTTTCAGCAGATTTAGTTCAAGGTTGCCTGGTTCCAAAGCAGAAACAGCATGGCAGGTCAGCATGGTAGAAGAAACCTGTTCACCATGTAGGGGAAGCAGAGAGAGAAGAGCCAAGGACAAAAAAATACCCTTTCAGGTTACATACCCAGACATGTACCCCTTCCAAACAGACCAAATGTTTGAAGCCATAAGGGTTTTGGTAGAAATTTTGATCTGAAGTACAACCAGTATTAAGCTTGTTTCTTCTTTCCCTATATATTTTCTTGATAGATGATTGTTATGACTCAAATTGTGCTTCACAAAAAGATTAAATATCCTGACTGCTGTGCCTAAGAATGACTTTATTTGGAAACAGTATCACTGCCAATGTAATTAGTTAAGATGAGGTTGAACTGGAGTAGAGCAGATCCTGAATCCAAAATCATTAGTGTCCTTATAAGAAGAGAATAAAGATACCCAGGGAAGAATGTCACATGAAGATACAGAGACACAGAGAAGAAACGTATGTGATGATGAAGGCATAGACTTCAGCTGTGCTGTCACAAAGCAGGGAACAGCTAGAACTAATGCATGGAGGAAGAGAAAAGCTTAACAGAGAGTATGGCCCTACTAACTCCATGACGTTGTACTTATGGAAGCTCACAGCATGAGCAGATATATTTCTGTGATTCAAGCCATTCAGTTTGTGTTGATTTGTTATGGCAGCCTAAGGAAACTAAAAGAGTAACCTATTCTTGTCTCAAGACTAAATCATTCAAATTAACATCAATTCAGGCCTTTCTTGAATATGTAAAGAAAAAAAAGGAAGAGAAATTTTAAAAAATGAACATAACCTTTCCTAAACACAACCATTATTTTCTATGGATCTTTCCTTATCATTCAAGTATCAGTTTACATGCTACTTTCTCAGAGAAGCCTTCCTTCTCTAATGCTATGCCAATACTCCCTGTCACTGCTAATCTACTTTGAAATATTTAGTCATTATTTTCATTATACTTGTCATATATTAGTTTTTGATTTCATTATACTTACCA